TAATAGTATACGGGCAGTGTAGCAATTTCTGGATTAGCGCATGTGCAAATCGAATGTTGCAAGTCCTATAGACATAATATCTAATCGCTTCGCGTAAAAAGTTAATAAAAACAGTCATAACTCTGAATTACTAATGCTGGTTCGACAGTGTAATAGAAAAACAAGGGGAATAGTTGGTTGGAATATAGTTTCCTATGGCCATGATATCTAAATAAGCAGCACACTAAAAGCAATTGATAAATTGATTGTTTGAAATCCTATAGGCATGGCATCTAGGTGAGAAAAACATTACATTACAACGTCCTAAGACATGTTATCTAAGGAAACAGAGTAATGGAAAGAGGCACGGCAAATACTTGAAAGAGCATATGTAGGTGATGTGTGTGCGCGTGACTCCTATAGGCAGGCTTTCTACTCATGACATCAAAGACATATAAAGAAAATAGCGAATAAACCACATAGATTCTATAGGCATGCTTCCACCCATTTATGCAAGTCTATTGCAATTTTTGGATTATTATGTGATAATTTTTCAATCTTTTCTACTAGGTAATCTAGTATCCTTATGCATGAAGATAATCAATTCGGTCGTTGTGGTCGGACTCTATTATGGATTTCTGACCACATTCTCCATAGGGCCCTCTATCTCTTCCTTCTCCGAGCTCTGGTTATGGAAGAAGGAACCGAGAAGAAGGTATCAACAACAACTGGTTTTATTACGGGACAGCTCATGATGTTCATATCGATCTATTATGTGCCTCTGCATCTAGCATTGGGTAGACCTCATACAATAACTGTCCTAGCTCTACCATATCTTTTGTTTCATTTCTTCTGGAACAATCACAAACACTTTTTTGATTATGGATCTACTAGAAATACCCTTCCTTCCCCAATTTCACTAAATTCCCAATTATTCAGTTTACAAATTATTACAACCCGAATGAAGTAATCAAATATGAATAATTACATAAGAAGACCATGATAGGCCTACTTAACAAAGCAGACCCACAAGAAAATAACCCAGTAAAGCCTGGGCCTTTAGCAGGCTCGTTCTTCATACGAACAGCAAACCCAGCTCCAAATACACCCCAAACATCAGAGTGTATCAATTGCTCAGCTCAAACTCATACAGGAACCCACACTAGGCACAAAGGGAAGACACACTTACCCAACCATTGAAGATGAACAACTTAACCACATAAATTAACGAGCTACGCATGACAACTAATTAAACAACTCTAAAGCCTACTAATAGCAGTTCTCACTAGGACATAGATACCGAATCATAAAACATATCGACGGGACTTGCATAAGACATATTGGAACTTGCATTTTAGAAACATGGGGGCCTTGAACATAAAAACTAGGAGAATCAGTAGAGCTCTTCAACATTGTGAGTTTGACATAGAAAACTAACAACATAGGTTCGTGATTTATTCAACAGGGGAAAGAGTGTAGCATGCTGAGCATAAATACAACATTAAGAGAGTTGAGGAGGCATGTCACTTGGATTAATAGGGTAAGCATACAAGACATATAAGATAAGCATGCTAAGTTTTCCAGAGAAAAAATTCCACAGTAAAGCATGATCCAGAATTAGTCGGGACTTTAGACCTGAGATTCTTAATTATGATAGTCTAATAGAGTCATAGTCAGGGGAATAGCAATTTTCACATAAGATCCTAATATACATAGAAAATAGGATAGTAGGCATGATCTACAATAGTCAACAAGCAGCCTAACATGCTGAGTATAACACAAAGATTCCAAAATCCAAAGAACTCATGGTAGGAAAGCATATCAACTTAAGGTTAATAGAACACGCACACTCCAGGGTTTATGCGAGTTGACTATGCATAATAGAAGAAGCTATGTATATTAAAATTTACTAGAAGTTTTAGGCAATGCTAAAGAGTGCATGATTGACAGGTCAAGGGACCTAATCAATAGAGTTACAAATTGCAGACAAACATGCTTGACTATGTATTAAAACAATGCTATAACATGGGAGAGTTAAGAATTACTTTGCATGAAATAGTAGATTAGTAAGAGGAGATTATTAAAGCAGATTTTGAGCAAACAATTTATACAAGGATCCCAGAAATCCAAGGCATGAATGTGAACTCATAATAAGCAAAGAACATGACATTAAGGCTAACATGAGCATGACCATTCAGGCAAACTTAAGAGAGCGGAAACTATTAGGATCAAATATGTAGAGTGAAGGTCTAATACACATGTTCAAACCTATCAAATTCGATAATAGAGAGTAGAAACTACATAACACCATGGAAACAATAGAATTACAGAAAGCGTACAACAATACAATGCTGAGAGTTCACAAATAACAAAGAAGCTTTAAGGAATGCTTGTCTAAACGTTCAAACAGTATTGGCATACACAATACACATACATGAACAAGTAGAGGACTAATATTTAAGGCTGTAAAGGGACAAAGAATACTAACCAGTTGCGAAGATAATTGAGCAAAAGAGTGAGTAACTCAGAATCTCACGGTGACAGTAAAGTAAAGACAACAGTGAGAACCCCATGTCCTAGTGCGTCAGAGTTGACAAGAGCTTTAGTGCGCCCCGAGCAGTGCTCGCACTAGGGAGGGCAAATAGAGAAGACTATGGTGGCCTTGGCTTTCAGCTGGCCACAATCAAGAGAACAGAAATAATATGTAAGGTGAAAGTGAGAGAATAATAATAGTGGTTAAACGATTCGAGCCCTGTTCAAAGGGGATTAGGGGAGGGGTTTATATATTAGTAGAAATTGAAAGAACAAACATGGAAAACAATTAAGCAAACAAAAAATGAGGAAAGAAAATCACATGCAATCGATAATAGAACTGGTAAAGGAAAACATTGAAATTTCAAACCCTAGTTCGACGAAAAATCAAAGATTGGCTGAGGATCTTGGTAAATCGGACCCATACAACGTGGTGATGAGTGTATATAGATGAAATATCGTCTAAGTCTTGAAGATGGAGGACGATTGTTCATAACTCAGGGCCTGGTACTTTGCCAAAAATAGGCAAGTACTAAGTGATGCCAAAATTGTGTAAGTAACAAGATGACAGAACGTATAAGGTAAGGAAATCATGGACTGATTCCATTTTGGGTTGGAATCGGAGAGAAATTAGGAGGAGGCCGTTAGGGTTTCTCAGAAGAGGAAAGGGGTTGAGAGGTTTTGAGGGCGGCTGATAAGAGGGAATGAGGATTAGGGTTTGGGGTTGGGTTAATTAAAAGAAGAGATGGCAAATGGGTCATTGATCACCCAAGATCAACGGCTAGGATTTTAAGGGGAGGCGGATCGGGTTAAATGGATGGGTATAGGGTAGTGGATCATTGGCATTGGGCTAGGGTGGATTGGGCTGAAGTTTGGGCTGTTTGGGCCATTAACTTTGGTCCTAATTTAGCCTTGAATTGGCTATAAATTAAATACACGAAATTTATCAAAAATAAATTATGAAAATGATTAATAAATCATAAAAATGTTATTTATGAAGTAAATAGTTAAAAATAATATCTTAGTATTATAAAAATACAAGAAATGATATTTTAGCATAAAAATATAATGAATACAATCATGTGCAGAATATAGTTTATTATTGCAAAGTTATGTAAATAGCTTAGAAATATAAATACAATTATGTAAAATAAAGTAAAAATATTTTAAAACATGTATGTGGGTATAAATAACAAGTTTGGATGGTTAAGTCATCACAATTAATTTAAAGGGATAATTAATAAAATTTAAGTAATTTAAATAAAAGAAAATTAATTTTAAAGCTCTAAAAATTGCGAAAATTTATGGAAAATACTTGTATAAATCTTATAAATTAAATAACTATGCAAAATGGCATGTTGAAAATATATATACTATTTGGAAAAATATGAGGGCAAAATTGGGTATCAAAAAATGTCTATCCTATTGCGTTTTTCAGGTTGATGTAATCACTTGACTCATCTAATTTGTTGATTAGCAGGGTTTATTATGCTCGTGAAGTTCTTTCGACGCTTCGCTCGCCTATTCAAGCCAACCTAAGACTATGTGTCTATATAATCATACTTGGTAAGAACGCATGTATATTTCCTGCAAAAATAACCAAGTAAGGCAACTAGAATATATCTATACTAATCACGAATCTATTCTTCGATGCCCGGATTCAAGAACTTATCATATTCAATCCTATATGTAATTTATAGTTCCTACTTTTGAGTTCAACTATAAATTCATAGATAGTACTCTATTGTTAGCTACACAATAGAATTATTAAGTGCAAGATCGAATAAACAAATTAATATGATAAAGTCAAGCAAAACAATCAACCGTCAATTTACAATAATCAAGAACGACCCATAACCCTAGAATAATGAGGTTCTTAGCCACTCATGTTCATAACAATCAAAATGTTGACTTACACATAAAGTTATGAATACTAGATGAAGAATGGAAGAAATGATGAATTCTGTGTTCTCGAGTATTTTGTACTTATGTTTCTCTCTCAAAGTGACGTCTCCCTTGCATAAAAAGGTTTACGTTTGCTTTTATACAAGTTGGGGGCGTCTTGGGGTCGAAATAACCAAGTCCCGAGCGAAATAGTACAACTTCACGTCACCAGCACCTAGGGTAGCATGGGGCGCTAGCCCTGGCGCTGGAACTTTGGAGATTCTAATTTGTGTGCCACATGTAGTGCCCCACACTACCTGTGCGCTACTTTGTTACTTTTTCTCGCTTCTTTCCCTTTTCGCTTCAATTCATCCGCCTTCATCTCAAAGCCTCGGGGTGATTCCTACACATAAAAATACCATTATTTTTCACAAATCATTACATTACACATCCAAAATCTACAAAACATGAGAAAAATACGAGGCAATATGCATATAAATATATGACAGTCGTTCTCCTTGGAGCTCCCAACCCCAATTGACTGAAAACTGAGAGAGGCATCAAATTTATGCTAGCCCCCAAATGAAAGAGTGCTCGCCCCACATCTACCTCACCAATTCAAACACGTATGGTGAAGCTCCCATATTTTTCAACTTTTGCGGCATTTTTCTTTGAATTCTCGAGGTGCACTCTTCAGATAGTGCCACAATCTCAAACTCTGTCAACCTCCTTTTGTTAGCCATAACATCTTTTATGTACTTAGCATATTTTGGGATTTCACATAGCATATCAATCAATGGGAGATTCAATTGAATTTGGCTCAGCATATCAAGAAATTTGTTAAACATCCTGTCATCACTTTTCTTCTGCAATCTTTGTGGGGAAGGAGGTGGTGGCCTTGCAATCAGAGTCTTTTCACTTTCGTCAATTTCTTTCTCAGCTTCTCCCACAGTTTTGGGGATCAGTTAACCCTTAGGAGTGACTTGTTCTTTCATTCTTTTTGGTACTTCTTCTAATTCTCCGCCATTCCTCAAAGTTACAGGATTTACCTAAGAATTCTTATCAGTATCACTGGGATGGGCCCCTGCATGCCGAGTATTTTGTTGTGCAGCCAACTGCCCGATCTGCCTCTCTATATTTCGAAATTCAGTCCTCAATTGTTGATTATCTGGTCGAAGCTGTTGGTTGTCAATCAATATCTTTTTCAACATATCATTAGTACTTTCTTCTACTTGTTGAGGTGACTTTTGAGGCTGATTATAGTGACTTTTGAGGCTGATTATAGTTCCTTTGAGGCCTGTATTGATTCTGAGTAGTCTGGTTCCCACCCCTTGAGAAATTCGGGTGATTCCTCCAGTTGGAATTATATGTGTTCCCATGTTGATTATTCTGGTTCATTGGACCTCTACCTTGCTGGCCTACATAATAAATAGATTCAGGATTCATCGGATACTGGTCACTCATATGGCCATCTCCACAAATTTCACAACATATGGCCATCCTCTGAACTTGCTACATCTGATACCCTTGATCCAAATCCATCTTAGCCATTTGGTTGTTTAGTTTAGCAATTTCTGCTCGCACGGCTGACATCTCATCCAGCTCGAGTGTACCTGATGCTTTCTATTTTATCAACCTTCTTGAGTCAGCTTCACCCTGCCAGTTATCATTATTTGTAGTGAAATTGTTGAGTAGAGTATGAATCTCATTGTATGGAATTCGCATGCAACTTCCTCCACAAGCTAAATCTAGATTCAATTTGGAAGTCTCATCCAGCCCATCCACAAATGTATGTCCTAGTACCTCATCTGCCTGACAATGAATTGGGCAGTCTCTGAGAAGTTTCTTGTATCTTTTCCAAGCTTGACGAAGAGTCTCACCATTTCGTTGTTGAAACCCGAGAAACTGGCTCCTCAATGCCTTTGTCTTCTTAGTGAAAAAAAACTTGATTAAGAATTTGCATGCAAGATCATCCCAAGTGTGGATCGAGTTTATAGGCTCCTTGTTTAACCATTCTTGTGCTTCCCCCGTTTGAGAAAAGGGAAACGAAGTTAGTCTGACATAGTTTGTAGAGACGTCTGGATAGTTGTATGTATCCGTAATCTCCAAGAAATTCTATATATGCCTTTGGGGATCTTCACTTGACAACCCCACAAATAGCCCTGTGGATTGAATAAGTTGCACCATATACTGCCTCATCTCAAAGTGTCTAGTTATATAAGGCTTCACGATAGCCTGAGTCATGTTCGCGAGATTAGGCTTGCAGCCTCAATCACCGGTCTTTCTTCATTTTCTGCAATCTCAATTGGCTGTGGTTGGACTACAATACCCAACTCTGCAATTCTTGCTCTTTCTTCTATCTCCCTCATTAACCTATGGAAGAGTCTTCGGGTTCATGATCAGGAGGAGGAAGGTTGTTCAAATTGTTGGTTCTTTTTTGCATTCAAGGTGAACACCTGTAGAGTCGGAAACAATCAAATAGATTAACACTTGAGCAAAAACAAATAAGAGCTTATTTCAGACAAAACTAATTTCTAAATCCCCGACGACAGCGCCAAACACTTGTTGGGTCCAAACGCACACGCAAGTATACGCGGTCGACAAGTAATAAAGTGATAATAAAGTATCGTTCCCACAAGGATTTATGATCAACTATTTTTCAATCTAAGCTATTTATGTATTTAATCCTCAAGTGAGTGTGAAGAAGATGATTGTGATTTTTATAACTATATTAATACGACCTAATAAGAAAGCAAGAAAATAAGATTGCAAGTAGAGCAAACAAACACTTAGGAAGAATTCAATGATATGGGAATATTCAAGGGTTATGGGATTGACGTCTCTCCTATTGCATTTTTCAGGTTGATATAATCACTTGACTCATCTAGTTTGTTGATTAGCAAGGTTAATTTTGCTCGCAAAGTTCTTTCGACGCTTCGCTCACCTATTCAAGCCAACCTAAGACTATATGTCTATAGAATCAAACTTGGCAATAACGCATGTATATTTCCTACAAAAATAACCAAGTAAGGCAACTAGAATATCTCTATCCTAATCACAGATCTATTCTCCGATGTCCGGATTCAAGAACTTACTATATTTAATCCTATATGTAATTTATTGTTCCCACTTTCGAGTTCAACTATAGATTCATAGATAGTACTCTATTGTTAGCTATGCAATAGAATTATTAAGTGCAAGATTGAATAATTAATTAATATGATAAAGTCAAGAAAAACAATCAACCATCAATTTACAATAATCAAGAATGAACCGTAACCCCAGAATAATGAGGTTCTTAGCCACTCATGTTCATAGCAACAATCAAAATATTTTTTTTTACACATAATAGCAATGAATACTAGATGAAGAATGGAAGAACTGATGAATTCCGTGCTCCCAAGTGTTTCGTACTTGTATTTCTCTCTCAAAGTGACGACTCCCTAGCCAAAATAGGTTTAGGTTTGATTTTATACGAGTTGGGAGCGCCTTAGGGTCAAAATAACCAAGTCCCGTGTGAAATAGGACGACTTCACGTCATCAGCGCCCAAGGTAGCGTGGGGAGCTAGCCCTGGCGCTGGAACTTTGGAGATTCTGATTTCTGCGCCACAATAGCCCCATGCTACCTATGGTGCTACTTTGTGACTTTTTCTCGTTTCTTCCCCTTTTCGCTTTAACTCACGCACCTTCGTCCGAAATTGCCTCCGGATGGTTCCTACACATAAAAATTTCAGTAATTAGCATAAATAGTTACATTATACATCCAGAATTGATGGAACATGAGTAAAATTCGAGGCAATATGCATATAAATATACATACTTTAAGCCAAATATCAACACCCCACACTTAGACTCTTGCTCGCCTTCAAGACATGGAACTATAACTACACCCAACAATGTACATCTCACTAGGAAAGAGCAATTCAAATTTGTTTTAATCATACACTCTACCTTTGACTATGGTCGATACTGACAATCAAGCATGAACCTACGAAATTCACATTCTTCCCTTTTTAAACATACCCAAGTATACACAACGCAATTCAACCAATTTAAACAACCTATCTACAACCACCCTACCTCAAGAGCCGAGTTGTTACCACTAAGCACCCTCAACTCGTGCACTCACCAACAAGAGAAGTTCACACATTACCAATCTGTCATGAGATCAAGTGCCCTCACCACACAAAAAAGGGTGAATATAAAAATAGTTCACATGTTCAAATATGACAGTGAACATAATTTAAGGACATCACAAAATTGAACAAAATTCGCTCACTCTCACAAAGAATTTCATGTGCCTCTCGTGGTCGTACCATAAGCTTGCCCGTAGTGTACATCTCTACTAATCAAAGCTAGCCAAATCTATGATCAATTAGGACTTTAAGGTTGTAATGTAGGCTAAGGGACGGGTAGGATACATTTAGGCATAGTGACTAACCCTCCTAAGCACTTTAGTATACTATACTCAAGAATCGAGCACTTTTTCTTCTCAACCAATTCACTCCCGGCAAACCATACAAAACATAGTCCTTTCATCAATTAAGCACTCTATATCCCCACTAGCATGAATTAGTAAGATTAGGAGGTGTGTAGTTTTCTTCTTTTTGACTATCAACATTATTTATCTCTTTCTTCTTGAAATTTTCTTTTCTTTTTTTTTCTACACACACTCCATACATTAAGGTTCATCGGCTAGTGGTATTTTCCACGACTTTATTGCACCTTATGGGCCTTCCATGGTTCCACTCAAAAGCTACTTCCCAAATCTCTCACCTTACTTCTTTTAGCGCTTAAGTGCCTTCGGAGGTAAAAGTTCAGCAAGCTCAACTTAAGAACAAAATAGGGTTACGGCTTGTAGTGTGGGTGCCAAAGAAAAGGTCTATAGGCTCAAGGGGGCTAGCACGGAAAAGTTTTATTTGTGAGTGATAAACACCTCTATGATCAAGCAAGAAACGCCTACATCAACTCCTAGACTAGCACAACTTAATGATTTTGCTTCGATTAACACAAGGGGCAAGTTCTAGACGAGACAGGATAGCACAAAATACCATGAATCCTTACACACACATTGCACATCACTCAACCAAGATTGTTCTATTAAACTCTCAAGTCAAGCAAGCACATACAGTTGAGAAATTTTAAGCAATAATGCACTAGATGACATACCAGTCAAACAACTGAGAAAAAGGTATCACAGATTAAGCTACATATTTTACTTAAGCATTACAATTCAAATAAAATATGCAGGAAGACAGAGCGCATGCCATTGCCTAATATGCCAGCACCAACATGTCAACAGGTATCTCAGAGCAACTCAGTTTTCTTCCTATCCTACTCCTAAAAAAATAAAAACAAAACACCCGATTCAAGCTACACCCTTGAAAAAGAACCGCCGTCTAAAGAAAAACCAAGGGATACTACCTAAATATCCTAACAAAAACAAAGAAAATATTTTTGATGTTTTTTAGTCGGACTTTAATCCCTCAAAAAAACGTCCAAAAGATCCATTGTCGGGAAAAGTTCGAGCTTTTTCTAATTTTTTTTTATATTTTTGTTTTTTCTCACAACTATTATTAACTAATTAGACTATGTCTACTATAAGTTATAAAATAAAAGAAATAAAATAAAAAACAGTTTTATACCATTTTAGGTCAGAAAGTAGTTTTCCCACCCACACTTAGATAAGGCATAGTCCCTGACGCATATAAAAATTCAAAGCAAAATAAGGTTGAAAGAAGCACTCCCTACTAGTCGGACCCATGAGGGTCATACTCGAATCCTTCCTCCTCGGAATACCCACCAGCCACAGCTCCGGGCTCATCATCATCCGCCCTCGGGGACACCAAAGCCATTGGCCCCGTGACATCATCACCAATATCATCCTCATCATCTGAGCCTTTGTGGGTGTTATTATCCTCTGATGGGTGGATGGGGCTACCAGATGCAATCCCCAATATCTCATTCGAAGAACTGGATAGATCATTGCGTAGATGCATACGCTCCTCATCTGTCACACTTAGCCTGCTCTTATCACATTCAGGGAGCTATAGAGAGACCTGTTGAAGTTTTCGTCCCTCTCATTCCTCGAAGCCTGGCTCAGCTTGGACATGGACTCTAACAAGGAAGTAATGTCCATCACTCTCTTTGGTGACTTCACCACCTCATCATAGCTGGGGTACTCAGGTACCTCACGGGAGAGCATGTACTTCATCAAGAGGTTGCCAAAGAAGAATATTTTTATTTTTTGCCCAAAGCGTGTGCGGGGCCATCTCTCCTAACATGATCTTGCTCACATTGATGGTTCATCCAGTCATCAGAAAAATATCAAACACACCCGATCTCGAGTGCATTCACTGTTGTGCTCAATCGGCATCGG